TATTTGCAATATGAGAGCAAAATTGAGCATGTTTTCGATTGCAACAATTTCAGTGAAGAAAGAAAATTGAAGCTTGTTGTGGGTGAATTTTGTGATTACGCTAATATATGTTGGACATCTTTGAAAATAGAGTGGAGGAGAAATTATGAAGAACCAATTGAAACGTGGGAGGAATTCAAGACATTAATGAGAAAAAGTTACATTCCAAAGCATTATTCTCGAGTACTCAAGAAAAAACTCTAGATTCTGCTACAGGGATCCAAAAGTATTGAAGAATATTACACAAAAATGGAGGCCCTTATGAATAGAGCATGCATTGATAAAGACGAAGATGATACAATGGTTAGATTCTTCGGTGGGATGAACTGAAAACTTGCTCGCTAAGTGGATAGGAAAGCATACTTTGATATAAAAAAATTGTTACACCTTGCTATTAAAATCGCAGGGCAACTTGCTTGGGAGAAGGAGAACTCCAAGAGGTATACTATTTCTAAGTCTATTACTTACCACGCTTGCAAAAAATGCAAATATTGAGAGGATAAATTTCAAGGTTAGAGGCACGTATGAGATTGAAAAAAAGAACAAAGATTAGACATCCAAGGGTAAAGAGGAAGTGGAGGAATACAAGGTCATATTAGTAGTGATTATCCTAACAATTGAGTCATGATCATAAAGAATGGACAAGTTGTCTCACATAGTGAGGAAAGTGACCAAGATGAGCTAGTTGAAGAAGAAATACAAGAGAATGAGGAGAAATTGAAAGCTTAAAAATTGTGAAAAGAATAATGAAATTGGAAAAAAAAATGGAAGAACGTGAGTTGTTTGGCTAGAGTTGGAGAGGTTAGAAGCCGAATGTTTTCACAAAAACCATCTTTATACTTATGTACAAGTAAGGATGTTTGGTCTCTAACGATAACAATTTTTATTTGCCTTGTATGTTTCAATCTCTTTTACAAGAATTTGAGAATGTGTTCCAAGATGAAGTACCTAAAGGACTACCTCTCATTAGAGATATTCAATATAAAATAGATTTTATAACGGGTGCAATCATTCCTAATAGGCCAGCTTATAGAGAAAACTCAACTAAGACTAAAGAAATTTATAGGCAAGTTGGGGAGCTCATGGAGAAGGGCTATATACGAGAGAGTTTGAGTCCATGTTCTGTACCAGTCTTATTGATGCCAAAGAAAGATGGAACGTGGCGCATGTGCATGGATTCTTGAGCCATCAACAAAATCACTATAAAGTATCGACGTCCTATTCCTAGGCTAGACCATATGCTTGATGAATTGCATGGTTTATATCTATTTACAAAGATTGATTTGAAATTTGGATATCATTAAATTAGAAGGCATATAGAAGATGAATGGAAAAGAGCTTTCAAGACTAAGGTTGGATTGTATGTATGACTTTGATATGAACCACGACCAAGGAATTTCCATAGCTCAAGGTCCAATTACAAGGACGAGAGCCAAGAAGCTACAACAAACCTTATACAGTTATATTCAAACTATGGTGAGCTCATCAAAGAAAATTCTAGAAGACGTTGGAGACCTCCCTTATATGTTGTGCAAAGTTGAGGTTCAAGAAAGAGATGAATTAAATGCATTTTAAGTTGCATTTAATGAACTCCGCTGAATTTATGAAACTAGTCCAAGGATGACTAATAAGCACATTTTATTAATTGCATTATCTAATTATAGTTTAACTATTTGTTTGTCATATTTAAGCTAGTTTTAAATATAGGAGTTAAAGGTTATATTGTAACCCACATAAGTTACTATATTCCACCATTAACTAGCCATTTTAATATGGAGGTTATGGGTATTTCTCATTTACTAGCCCATTTAATTTGGGAGTTATGTATGACAGTTAAGGTGGTAAAGGCTATATAAAGCCTTCTTTTCTTTGATTAGACATCAGATTTTGGTATTAAGAATATAATTTCTATTTTAGCTTTGTTGAGAGCTAAACTTTCTTTGCAAATTCTTGTATTTAGAACTTGCATGTAGAGTCATTCAAGTGGTATTGATCAAACCTCTTGTAGAGTGATTCGAATCACGAGTTTAGAAACGAGTTTTCTTTACTCTTGATCTTGATCATCAAGGTAATCAGTTCCATACTTTCCCTTGGGTTGATTTCCATATCAGACTTGTTATGCCTTTTAGGTTAACTAATGCTTCTAGTACATTTATGCGCTTAATGAATCAGGTTTTGAGAGAATATTTAGGAAAGCATGTTGTTGTACATTTTGATGATATTTTAATTTATTCAAAGACTTTGTATGAGCATGTGAAGCATGTTAGGTAAGTTTTGATTATGCTTAGGAAAGAGAAACTTTATGCTAATTTTAATAAGGGTAGTTTTTGCATGGAAAAAGTTAACTTTCTTGGCTTCATAGTTGATAAAAATGGAGTACAAGTAACTTCTTGCTCTCAAGGTGAACTTAATTTGAAGGAAAAGAGACCGGAGATAGGATTTTGAAACTTACCCCTAATTTGAGACCAAAATGGATTTTCTTCAATTGGGCTTGTTCTTGAGGTTATTTCTCTTCGTTGTCTTCTATGGAAACATTCCTTGGAGGTACAATTGGGATCGTCCTTGCTTGACGTATTCTTGTGTATCCTCGGATTGAAATTTTGAGTTTTCCTTGAAGCTCTTTAATGACGAATTGGATTGCAGGAATGATTTCTAGGCACTTTCAGCATTGTAAGAACAAGTTTGAATCGAAATGGTGTAGAATTGCTCCCGAATTTGGAGGAAATCTGAGAGTAGGAGACCCAAAATCTAAACGCTTATTGCCTACTATTGGGAGCTCGATTCTTGTTCCAAACTATTGCCTAAACGTTTATGAACAACATAGTGGAAAGTAGATAACATTAGTTTAAATAAAAATAAAGCAATGCCCTAATATAACCTAGGGATCATTCAAAATAACATGAATACAACTGCCCTAAATTTGGCTCCTTGGCCTTCAACGCAACGTTGTCATCCGTAGATGGGTATCTTACCTTTACTTTAAAATAAGAGTAGCATGTGATTTGAGTACTTTAATAAATACTCGGTAAGTAATCCCACTGTTAGGGTCGGAATATGAATCACGTGTAATATAGTGGGACCTATCCTTTCATAAATACATTGTGGCATGGGCTTGGGCTTTACTTTTCAGTCTGAGCAGAGTTGAATATGTTGTACTTCCCTATACACGACCCATGAATGTGCACATTGACCACCAGGTGGGTTGGTATAAGAGTACTCTGTGGGTCTGCCTTGTCGAGGTTGTGCACACTCACACTACCAAATACCATGAAGGGAAAAGACCCGCATAATATCATAAGGAACATAAAATACATGTGTCTGTACTCATCATAATGGGGAAGTATCCCGATGCACCTCCCATATAAAATACATGAGATCCCTAACATTAAAACACGACATAACGTTCCTATGAGACATACATACTTGATTCTTGTCATATTGTTCATGATTAACAATACATAGACATAGGGTGTACTAAACATAATATAGAAGTATCTCGATGCACGTGGTATACAAAATGCATGAGATCCCCTAACATTAAAGAATGACATATATTCATGGCGGTAGTCATACCAACAATCTATTCCTAGCATAGTGTTTCTATAAGATATAAATACTTGATTCATTTCATATTTTTAATAATTAACAATACATGATTTTCTAATGTCTCATAGTCCTAGAATAGTGTATATGATATCATAGCATAACTTGTATGCAACATATCGTATATCATAGCATATACATATTATAGTATATGTCATACAATCATAAAACATGGCATGTGCAGGGGCCACAGGTAGCGATGTCCATTCCCTGTCATCATCCCGACCATCTATTTCATTCTCCATTTCCACGAAATTCTCTATTTATTTGTGTGGGGATCAGGGTAAAGGGATTCTTCGCAAGGAAGTGGCAGGGATCGGATTCCCCATGGAGAATTTTAGTGGGTTTTAGATCCAAGAGTCAGTCTTAGAGGAAAAGACCAAGAGTGTTGAAGATACAAGGCCAAGAATGTTTTACCGTAACAATGACTTTTTATGGGTTAGGAAACAGTGGCATCCTGATGTCTATATTTAGTTTTAGAAGACCTTATAATTACGTTTGTTATTACTATTGTAAAACCGTAAAGCAGAGCAGAGAAAAAAAGAAAAGAAACAGAGAAGCAATAGAAGATTGTTTTTTCAGATAAACAGAGTGTTCTTTGTCTCCTTTTATCGTCAGTGTGTGAGAGATTTATTTCACAAATTTATGAGTTTTCTTTAACAAATTTGTATCAAGCCAATGGCGAATGTGACGGGTCAAATGCCACTACCGTGACTAACGAAGACAAACTACGAGAATTGGAGCATTCATATGAAAGCTTTTCTTGGTTCTCAAGATGCATGGGAGGTGGTCGAAGAAGGGTTAGAAGAACCAAAAGATACCACTGGTTATACAGCGGCACGAAACAAGGTGGGTTGTTCCGAGTCGTTGACGAGTTGGGCTTTGAGAAGCTTGCCAGTGCAACTACTTCAAAAGAAGTGTAGGACACTTTAGGAAAAGTGTTCAAAGGAATCGACCGAGTCAAGCAAGTGCGTCTCCAAACTCTTTGTGGCAAGTTGGAGAGCATGAAGATGAAGGAGTCAGAAAGTGTATATGACTACATCATGCATGTACAAACTGTTGTAAACCAACTCAACTGAAATGGAGAAATGTTAGCCAAGACCCGGTTTATGAGAAGATTTTAAGGTCATTAACCAACAACTTTAAGAATGTGTTATGCGCGATAGAAGAGTTAAAGGACCTAGCGACGTTCAGAGTCGATGAGCTAGCCGATTCTCTCGAGGCACATGAGCAACGTAAGAAGAAGAAGGAGGAAACACTCGATCAAGCACTTCAAACCAAGGCGTCAATCAAAGATGAAAAGGTACTCTACTCTCAAAATTTTGAAGGTAGAGGTTTTGGACGTGAAAGTAGTAAAAATGGTCATGGTGGTCAAGGCAGCAGTAATGAAGGATACTATAAGAAGAAGGGACAGTCGAGCCAAGAAAATTGGCGTGGAAGAGGATGCAGTCAAGGAAGAGGTGGCCGATCAATTTACTCCAACATTCAGTGCTACAAATGTTACAAACATGGTCACTATGCAAACGATTGTAACTCCGACAAATGTTACAACTGTGGCAGAGGGGCATTTTGTAAAAGATTGTCGAGCTAATAAAAAGGTGGAAGAAACAATCAACCTAGCCTTGGATGACGCAACAACCGAAGGTCTTCTCATGATGGCTCAAAATGAAGATCTGAAAGCGAAAGAACACGGCAGAGCAAAAGACGATGGTGGTAGTTGTGAGGTGGTGGAAGCCATTGGAAATGAGAAGATACGCAGCGGATTTGGCAAAATCGCGATATCGGAGACGAGAAAATTGAAGGAATCTGGATTAAACACGCGATCGGCAAACGACCCAAAGAAACTTCCGGATCATCAGAAGGAGAACAGAGATTTAGAGCAACAACCAAAATCTGCCGTGGATAAATATGTGGAGAAGTCTCAGTTGCAGACGTTGAAATCGCTGAACGAGCGCCTTTTGAAGGAGAAAGTAGAGATTGAAAAAGAAAAGAAAGCTTTTAGAAATGGAGATTTCAGGTTAGAGAAGGAAGTGGCAGAGCTGAGTGAAAGTTCTTTCTATCTCAAATAGGAGAAGGAAGAGAATGAGATGGTAATTTATGAGCTTGCGAAGTGAATTGAAGAAGGTGTGGAGAAAGAGAGGTCAGTTGCTGATGAGTCGTGGGTTCAAAACCGAAGGTGTGTGCTAGGAAGTGAAATTCTTTACATTGAAGCGTGGCACCATGCGGATCAAGTCGAACAGACTTCGAGTCAAACTTGGTTAGACGTGGGCGTGGATCAGAAGAGCTATGCGTGTCGCATATCGAGTGGAGACGCGTCACTTTACAATGTGCCTGACGCGTTATTCCACCCAATCGTCAATACGTGTCCCTCAGGTTGTCTGACACGCGGCTTGCTGGTTGTCTGATGCGCTTTCCCTCCCGCAAGTTGACATTGTTGGGTTTTGATAATCGGCCAGGGAAATCCTTTCTTTTCGGTGAGAGAAAATTGTCGACAGGAGGTTGTTGGAAGAAAAATAAAATGAGTAAAATAACAAGGAGAGAGAATGACTGAAATTTTGACTGCACTTAAAATCAGGTTGTGAAATCTTCTGAACAGATTTCCTATTTAAATATAACCTATCCTAAAAATGGCTGGAGAGTGGCAACTGAAACTATGCCACTTCCTACAAAATTGCCGTCTAAAACTTCGTTAATCCATTCGACGTGTTTGTCAAATGGTCAAACGGAGAATTAATGTAATCGTGTGAATCTAAAATGCCACTTCCTACAAAATTGCCGTCTAAAACTTCGTTAATCCATTCGACGTGTTTGTCAAATGGTCAAACGGAGAATTAATGTAATCGTGTGAATCTAAATAAGGAAAAACTCAGGTTTTATCTAACAGACATGTGGATTGCCAGAAAATATTCTCTACTGACAGTCGCAATACTGAATCTGGCCTTCATAGTCAGTTCATTTACCTCCTTCTTGTTCCTGAAAGAACTCTCAGAAATCCTCATTTACCTCCTTGTTCTTGAAAGGACTCAAATCCTCATTTACCTCCTTGTTCCTGAAAGAACTCCCAGAAATCCTCATTTACCTCCTCCTTATTCTTGAAAGGACTCCCAGAAATCCTCATTTACGTTCTCCTTGTTCCTGAAAGAACTCTAAAAAATTCTCACCTCAAATTTCATCCAGAAATCCTCATTTACCTCCTTATTGTTCCTGAAAGAACTCAAATACTCATTTACCTCCTTGTTCCTGAAAGAACTCAAATCCTCATTTACCTCCTTCTTGTTCCTGAAAGAACTCCCCAAAATTCTTGTTCATTTACCTCCTTCCTACTTCCTGAAAGAACTCAAATACTCATTTACCTCCTTGTTCCTGAAAGAACTCAAATCCTCATTTACCTCCTTCTTGTTCCTGAAAGAACTCCCCAAAATTCTTGTTCATTTACCTCCTTCCTACTTCCTGAAAGAACTCAAATACTCATTTACCTCCTTGTTCCTGAAAGAACTCAAATCCTCATTTACCTCCTTCTTGTTCCTGAAAGAACTCCCCAAAATTCTTGTTCATTTACCTCCTTCCTACTTCCTGAAAGAACTCAAATACTCATTTACCTCCTTGTTCCTGAAAGAACTCAAATCCTCATTTACCTCCTTCTTGTTCCTGAAAGAACTCCCCAAAATTCTTGTTCATTTACCTCCTTCCTACTTCCTTCTTATTCCTGAAAGAACTCAAATCCTCATTTACCTCCTTCTTGTTCCATTTACCTCTTTCTAGTTCCTGAAAGAACTCTCAGAAATCCTCACCTCATTTACCTCCTTATTCCTGAAAGTTCTCAAATCCTCATTTACCTCCTTCTTCTTCCTGAAAGAACTCCCCGAAATTCAAGAGAACTCCCCAAAATTCTTGTTCATTTACCTCCTTCTTGTTTCTGAAAGAACTCTTAGAAGTCCTCCCCGAAATTCCAGAGAACTCCCTAAAATTCTTGTTTATTTACCTCCTTGTTCCTGAAAGGACTCTCAGAATCTTGTTCATTTACCTTCTTCTTGTTCCTGAATGAACTCTCATAAATCCTCACCTCAAATTTCATCAAGAAATCCTCAATTACCTCCTTCATTTCCTTCTTGTTCCTGAAAGAACTCTCAGAAATTGAAATTCTTGTTCATTTACCTCCTTGTTTTTGAAAGGACTCTCAGAATCTTGTTCATTTTCCTCCTTCTTGTTCCTGAAAGGACTCTCAGAATCTTGTTCATTTACCTCCTTCTTGTTCCGAAAAGAACTCTCAGAAATCCTCACCTCAAATTTCATCCAGAAATCCTCATAAATCCTCATTTACCTCCTCCTTTACCTCAAATTTCATCCAGAAATCCTCATTTACCTTCTTTTGGTTCTTGAAAGGACTCAAATCCTCATTTAAAAGAACTCCCAGAAATTACCTCCTTGTTCTTGAAAGGACTCAAATCCTCATTTAAAAGAACTCCCAGAAATTACCTCCTTCTTGTTTCTAACAGGACTCAAATTCTCATTTAAAAGCACTCCCAGAAATTACCTCCTTATTCCTGAAAGAACTCAAATTGTCGAATCTACGATCTTCACGTTATTAACACGACAATTAACCAACTGAGCTAATAGGGCATAGGTTTTATGCACATTATAGATCATTGGCTCCTAAACCAGTCAATCGAGTTTCGTTTACATAAATTTATACATAATAAACTTATAGAAGTCATTATCTTTTAAAGTTCGTAGTGTTTTAACTCGTATCATGAAAAGATATTATTAAAAATTAATGAAATTGGCCCATGTAGGTTGATATGAACCAAGAGACATCAATCATACAATATACTTCAATGAAGATGTGAAGAAAAGGTTGTCAAAATTATCAAAAGATGTTTCAATTCATGCTACATTGAAAAGTGAAGAAAAGGTTGTCAAAATTATCAAAAGATGTTTCAATTCATGCTACATTGAAAAAGAATAAAGTTTGATTGTTGTAAATTTTGGATGGGTTACAATTTAGAGTAATTTACAGTTATTGTATGAGCATTTGTGCTTTTCTTTAGCCATAAGTTTCTTTGCAACTCTATGTAGTTTAGGTTGTATGTAGAATCATTCAAGCTCGACATGATCAATCTTGCTTGTGGAGTGATTCGAATCTCAAACAAAGTGTTCTTGGCTTGAGATATTCGATCAACGAGGTAATCCGAATCTTATTCCCCTTGTATTGATTCCTTATCTTATCACAGTGTTGAACCTACGACCTTCGCGTTATTAGCATGACGCTCTAACCAACTGAGCTAATAGGCCATAGGTTTTATGCACATTATAGATCGATAAGCTCCTAATGTAGTCAATTGAGTTTAGGTTACATAATTTTATGCATAATAAACTTAAAACTTTAAGTCATTATCTTTAAAGTTCGTAATGTTGTAACCCCGTATCATGAAAAGATATTATTAAGAAGAACTGAAATTGGCCCATGCTTTAAGTCATTATCTTTAAAGTTCGTAATGTTGTAACCCAGTATCATGAAAAGATATTATTAAAAAGAAATGAAATTGGCCCATGCATGTGCCAAACCAATGACCTTCCCATTATTAGCACGACGTTCGAACCAACTGAGCTAATAGCCATAGGCTTTATGCACATTATAATCAGTAGCTCCTCATAGATGTTCTTTGTCTCCTTCTATCGTTAGTGTGTGTGAGATTTATTTCACAAATTTATGAGTTTTCTTTAACAAATTTGTATCAAACCAATGTCGAATGTGACGGGTCAAATGCCACTATTGCGACTAACGAAGACAAACTACGAGAATTGGAGCATTCATATGAAAGCTTTTCTCGGTTCTCAAGATGCATGGGAGGTGGTCGAAGAAGGGTTAGAAGAACCAAAAGATACCACGGGTTATACAGCGACATGAAACAAGACGTTAAAAGAGGTGCGATACAAGGATAAGGGGGCACTATACATGTTGTTTCGAGTCGTTGACGAGTCGGGCTTTTAGAAGCTTGCTAGTGCAACTACTTCAAAAGAAGTGTGGGACACTTTAGGAAAAGTGTTCAAAGGAATCGACCGAGTCAAGCAAGTGCGTCTCCAAACTCTTCGTGGCAAGTTGGAGAACATGAAGATGAAGGAGTCAGAAGGTGTATCTGACTACATCACGCATTTTACAAACTGTGGTAAACCAACTCAACTGAAATGAAGAAATGTTAGCCGAGATGCGGGTTTTGGAATAGATTTTAAGGTCATTAACCAACAACTTTGAGAATGTTGTATGCGCGATAGAAGAGTTAAAGGACCTAGCGACGTTCATAGTCGATGAGCTAGCCGGTTCTCTTGAGGCACACGAGCAATGTAAGAAGAAAAAGGAGGAAACACTCGATCAAGCACTTCAAACCAAGGCGTCAATCAAAGATGAAAAGGTACTCTACTCTCAAAATTTTGAAGGTATAGGTTTTGGCCGTGAAAGTAGTAAAAATGGTCATGGTGGTCAAGGCAGCCGTCATGAAGGATACTATAAGAAGAAGGGACAGTGGAGCCAAGAAAATTGGCATGGAAGAGGACGTAGTCGAGGAAGAGGCGACCGATCAATTTACTCCAACTTTTAGTGCTACCAATGTCACAAATAAGGTCACTATGCAAACGATGGTAACTCCGACAAATGTAACAATTGTGGTAGAGAGGCATTTTGTAAAAGATTGTCGAGCTGATAAAAAGGTGGAAGAAACAATCAACCTAGCCTTGGATGACACAACAAATGAAGGTCTTCTCTTGATGGATCAAAATGAAGATCTGAAAGCGAAAGAACACGACAGAGCAACAGACGATGGCGGTAGTTGTGAGGTGGTGGAAGCCGTTGGAAACGAGGGTATACGTAGCGGATTTGGCAAAATTGCGATACCGGAGACGAGAAAATTGAAGAAGGAATCTTGATTGAACACGCGATCAGCGAACAAGCCAAAGAAACTTCCAGATCATCAGAAGGAGAACAGAGATTTAGAGCAACATCCAAAATCTGCAGTGGATAAATCTGTGGAGAAGTCTCAGTTGCAGACGTTGAAATCGTTGAACGAGCGTCTTTTGAAGGAGAAAGTAGATGAAGATAAGAAATCACTACAAGGGGAATAAGATTCGGATTACCTTGTTGATCGAATAACTCAAGGCAAGAAGAACGCTTGATTGAGATTCAAATCACTCCACAAGCAAGATCGATCATGTCTAGCTTGAATGATTCTTGTTGATCAAATGTCTCAACGCAAGAACACTTGATTGAGATTCGAATCACTCCACAAGCAAGGTTGATCATGTTGAGCTTGAATGATTCTACATGCAACCTAAACTACATAGAATTGCAACGAAACTTAGCCATTGGCTAAAGAAAAGCACAAATGCTTCATTTAATATATTTTCCAAGTCTCTTACAAATCCAACATACATGGCCTTATATAGCCTCAAAATGAAACTAAAGGCATTCCAAACGTTGTAACATTCATACTTAATGACCATAATTAGCCATTATGTAACCTAAAGTAAATAAAATGTCTTAAAATACAATAACTCTAAATTACTCTAAATTGTAACCCACCCAAAATTACTAACCATCAAACTTCATTCTTCTCCAATGTGGCATGAATTGAAACATCTTTTGATAATTTCAACTATACTTTCTTCAGATCTTCATTGAAGTATATTGTATGATTGATGTCTCTTGGTTCATATCGGTAGAGATTGGAAAAGAAAAGAAAGCTTTTAGAAATGGAGATTGAAAGGTTAGAGAAGGAAGTGGCGAAGATGAGTGAGAGTTCTTTATGTCTCAAATAGGAGAAGGAAGAGAATGGGAAGGTAATTTATGAGCTTGTCAAGAGAATTGAAGAAGGTGTGGAGATAGAGAGGTCAGCTAATGATGAGTCATGGGTTCTAAATCGGAGGTGCGCGCTAGCAAGTGAAATTCTTTACATTGAAGCGTGGATCTGTTAGAAAACACTCGTACAACTAAGAGAGGCAATAAACCAACTTACTCATTATTCAACTTGTTACACAGTACATATATAGACAGAATAGCCACACTAACTGCTAATAACTTCCCTTAACCGCTAATAACTACCCTTAACCGCTAATAACTATCCTTAACCGCTAATAACTTCCCTCAACTAACATAATTTGAAATACAAACAGTAAATAAAATGAATTACGGTTAATACAAGATTAAATAAACTAACAAATCATCCCCTTAATCTTGTATTTTGATCTTCACATTCTTACATTCTTCAAACTAATTCTTTCAGTAAACGTCCTAACCATATTCCTTGACACGCAGCTGACGTCGCCGCAATATACTCTGTTTCACAGGACGAAAGTGCCACCATTTTTTGTTTCTTTGAAGTCCATGTAATTGGATTGCCATATAAGAAAAACAATGTCCCTGTAGTGCTCTTTCGATCATCTATATCTCCAGCAAGATCACTATCACCATATCCGATTAAGCGATTTTCTACTTGCTTTGCCTTCACATAATGTCATCCAATATCAATAGTTCCTTTCACGTACCTGAGTATCTGCTTCACAGCTGTCATATGAACCATAGTCGGAGCTTCCATAAACAACTCATAACTCCAACGGAATATGATAAGTCAGGTCGTGTGTTCACTAAATAACGAAGACTTCCGATAATACTCTTATAAAGAGTGGAATCAACAGATGTACAATTACTCACTTTGCTTAGTTTTGTTTTCGGCTCCATAGGAACATGACACGGATTACAATCCATCATTCCAAGTTTTGCCAAAAGCTTTGCCGCATAACTCGACTGAGATAACCTGATTCCATCAACATCTTGTTTAACCTGATTGCTCGATGTCCATTTGGTAGTTTTGCGAACTCCCACGTGCCATTTTTTTAAATAACAGACAACTCTTCTAGCATTGCTTGCTGCCATTTCTCATTTTCTCTTGCTTCCATATATGAATTTGGCTCCTCAAGTGAAAGAAAACACATCCTAACTTCTTCATCAAACTCAATAGAATCAGAGTAAATTTCTCTTAACTGTCGAAATTTTCTTGGATTTGATGAGATGTATGAATCGTTTTTTGGTGATGAATTGTCTCTTGATAAATCATTTGCTGGTGATGAATCGTCTCCCAATAGAGTTCCCGATGATTCTCCCCGCTCTTCTAAAATGACCTCGTCATTCACATAGGCCTGTGGATCATAATGAACATCGAATTTACCACCTTCCTTCTTATTTTCTTCCAATTGTTGCACATCCCATTTATATTCTTCTTCTTCTAGAAACTTGACGTCTCGGCTGATATGAAGTATTTTCGCTTTAGGATCATACAAATGATAAGCTTTTGAACCTGCTTCATATCCCACGAAAATCATTGGCACACTTCGGTCTTGTAATTTGGTTAAATTTGGTGTTGTATTTCTTGCATATGCCAGGCTTCCGAACACTCTAAAATGCTCTACATTAGGCTTTCTTCCTCTCCATTTCTCATAAGGAGTTGCTTCAATTACACTCTTCGTTGGGGATCTATTAAGAATGTAGACAGCTGTCTTCACCGCTTGTCTTCTTCAACAAGGGATTTGCCCACTACGAGACCTTGTGCCTTGTAGAAGGTAAAGATCATTCCTCCACCCAGGAAAAGAAGGTTAACCTTCTCCAACAAGGATTCAATTACACCGATCTTGACGACACCTTTGAACCACAACTAATGGCAGCAAATGGTCTCTTGGGATTTGACACAGCTCTGACCAGGTAGTCAAGTTCCTTCTGCATAAGGAAACCAGCAACAAAAGATTTCAAGTACTTAGCCACACTTAGCCACACCCTCTATGGAAGCGTGGGCCCTGTGAGCAATTCCAAAGGCATCATTAACATAGAGATCCGTGAGGGAAGCCAACTTCTTGGCAAACTCAAGTTGGTTCTCGATAACGTCGGGTATTGGAGTGTTACTAGACCTTCCTTTGTTGCAGACTTCGACGACTCTCCTCTCTCTCCAGTGTTGTTATTATTTCTCGGCATGATCTTTGGCATGTAACCAAGCTCTGATACCAATTGTTAGAAAACACTCGTACAATTAAGAGAGACAATAAACCAACTTACTCATTATTCAACTTGTTACACAGTACATATATAGACAGAATAGCCACACTAACTGCTAATAACTTCCCTTAACCGCTAATAACTTCCCTCAACTGACATAATTTGAAATACAAACAGTAAATAAAATGAATTACGGTAAATACAAGATTAAATAAACTAACAGGATCCATGCAGATCGGGTCGAACATCCTTCGAGTGAAACTGGGTTAGACGTGGGCGTGGGTTGGAAGAGCTACCGCGTTTTGCATATCGAGTGGAGACATGACACTTTACAACGTACCTGATGCGTTATTCCACCTAATCGTCAATACGTGTCCCTCAGGTTGTCTGACACATGGCTTGCCGATTGTCTGACGTGCTTTCCCTCCCGCAAGTAGACATGTGGCTTGCCGAAAAATTTTCTCTGTGACAGTCGCAATACTAAATCTGGCTTCAAAGTTAGTTCATTTACCTCCTTGTTCCTGAAAGGACTCTCAGAAATCCTCGAATTTCATCCTTCATAGAAGAACATATCGAATGGCTCAGATCTAAAGAAAAATTGTGAAAGTCACTTACCTCCTTTTTGTTCCTGAAAGAACTCTCAGAAATCCACGAATTTCATCCTTCATAGAAGAACATATCGAACGACTCAGATCTAAAGAAAAAGGTGTGAAAGTCATTTACCTCCTTCTTGTTCCAGAAAGGACTCTCAGAAATCCACGAATTTCATTCTATGAATTTTATCCTTCATAGAAGAACATATCGGCTCAGATCTAAAGAAAAATTGTGAAAGGTTACCTCGCAGGTCACATCAGTTTAAATTTCGTAGTGTTGTAACCATGTATCATGAAAAGAGAGTACATATTGTGTGCGAAGTTTGCCAGCGATAACAAGTTCTCGAAGGAAATGATAATCTAGTTCAACATGTGTTGGCCCGCTTGTGAGATACGGGATTAGAGCTCAAAAGAATAGCACTTTTGTTGTCACATAAGAGTAAAGGCTGCTGTGAATTAGGGACCTTGAGGTCATGCAAAAGATGCGTAACCCAAAGAAGTTCAGCGGCAGTTGTGGTAAGAGCACGATACTCAGATTCATAGCTGGAGCGTGAGACAATAAGTTGCTTTTTGGCACTCCAAGAAACGAGATTGTTACCAAGATAAATAGAATAGTCGGATGTAGAACGACGAGTATCGGGACAACCAACCCAGCCAGCATCCGAATAAGCGACGAGCGTACTAGGAATAGTGGATGGACGAAAGGTAAGACCAAAGTGGAGTGTTCCTTTGACATAGCGAAGAATATGTTTGACAGCAAGAAAGTGATCTGTAGTAGGGGCATGTAAGAATTGACAGCATAGGCAATATCTGGACGTGTAATAGTCAAGTACTGAAGGGCGCCAACAAGAGATCTATAGAGAGTAGGATCAGAGAAAGGAG